CGGCCTCGGCGTCCGGGCGACTCGCACTTAGCAGCCCCGGCGAGCGGAAGGCGAGGGGCGGGCGCCGCGGCGGGGTGTAACGTACACTGTATGTATATGAGCGGCTGGCTGGCTCGGGAGCTGCTCGCGCCGGTTTAGGCCGGTCCGCTCCTGCTCCAGCCTGGCCCTGATTGACAGCTCAGCACTTGTTTACCACAGCGCTGCCGCTCGGCGCAGCGGGACTGCTGAGCTGGCAGAACGGGAGAGGAAGAAGGAAAGGAGAAAGGAAAGAAAACTTCGGTGCGACGGCAAGATTATTTAAAAAATAAATAAAAAGGCAGAGTGTTTTAAAACATATGTATATATTTATACACACAGTGTTAATGCGCTTTCACTGTCCCTTTGAGATTCTTTCTTGGCCACACAACACCCCACGATGCCTTCATGTAAATAGCATGGTGGTTTTTAGATTACTTGCCATAGCTGCTTTTGTTACAAATGAGAAAAAAAAAAGCATCAGCGTTTTTGTAGGACAATAGGAACTGCACATTTCTAACCCTGCCTTCCTCCATGATATTTCACGTTCTAGGCAACTCTTTTTTGCATAGTCTCCGCATTTATTACTTAGTTCTTTTGTACACAAGATACTCAGTCACTTTCTCATAAAAAAAAACCTTTATATTTTGATTAAGTCAGGACTTTCTTGTAATCACGATAAGCCACAAATTTGTTGCGGCATTAACAGCAATTCAAAGATTCATGACTGCATACCCCAAGTCAGTTTTCTTGTTGCTACAAGGAAACCTTTGGGTTTTGGATACACCAGCAAGGTCCAGCTAAACTCTGAGTTTTTATAGATTAGCTCTGAAAACATGAATTGAGCAGTTTTCCACTGTGCTCCTGAATTTGTCTGGTACTTTGTAGGTAATGCCTGTACACCTTGCCCGTCTCTGTCCTTTTCTCCCTTCACCATCCCCAGTAAAGTTCTGGGCCCTTGCAAGCCAGAAGATAAAAAGCTTAATAACTAAATTTATCTTACAGAGCAAACTTCATACCAAGTCTTAAGTTGTTTAATATCGTTGAAGTGAAAGATCTGTTTTTATTTACGTTTTGAACTAGATATGATGTTGAAAATGATTTTCATGTCAGATCTTTCAGGCAGATTTTGAAATGGCAGCAATTACAACTATGCCAGTATTCAGCAGCAAATAATAAAACAAGTTAATGTTTGCTTTCATGTAAGATGAATCTGGCTGTTTTACCTACTTCTAAAAGCTTTACATCCAGCAGTTGATACAAATGAGCTGGAGATACTTGTTTATGGCGCACCATGTTCTTAAGTATTGTAAAGAGTGTATAAATTCCCTTTACTCTGGGAAAGAAACCTATGTAATATATTATGCTGTGTAAAATGTTCACAGGTGGAATAGCATATTGGGTTTTTCCCTCCTAGATGATGACAATTCCGAAGAAGGCCTTCACATCATTCATTCAGGAAGGCATGAATATGCATTCAGCTTTGAGCTTCCACAGACGTAAGTACCCCCAAGCACTGCTCAGGCTGTGTGAGAGGACACTGAGACACATACCTGCCTAAGAAAAATCCTTGCTGTGGGTGGAGGGGAAACTTTTTCAATGGTAGTAGGAATTGTGCTCAGACATGCAACAGAGGACATAATTTCATTAAGCTGAAGAGGTTGCTTTTATGCTGAAAAATATAGATATATTTTTGTCCTCCCACCAAATGGGAGCTCTTTGCTGCACAGTAGGTGACTTTCTTTTTTTTCTTGACCAAAGTCTGACTCATTGTGCCTTGCGATACTTTACTGCCCCCCTGGAGAATGGAGGGGAATTGAAGTGTCATTCAAGTCCTGCCAGAGTGGCTGAAATATCTTCCAGCTAGGCCAAGATTACACTGGAGCCAGCAGACCAGCAGAAGTAGTGATAAGATCACGGCTTGATTGTTTGGCTCAGTCTGCAACAGATGCAGCAACTTTAACAGCGTTGGAATAAAAAAGGAGATTGTTCCACTTACAGTAGGATGTATGTACTCAGGCTGGTCTTTCTGCAAAAGAAAGGGCTAAGACGGCAGCACATACGCGCAGCACATAGGTCTCTGTTCACCTATCTGCACAACATGGACATCCTGAAGAGAAGAGTTAGAGCGGTTACCAACACGGAAACTGGCTAAGACAGAAACATCAAATACAAAGGAAGAGAGGGAGACTGGAAATAGATGGAGAAAAAGGAGGATGAGCCTTTTGCTGTAAAAGGCAATCTTGGAAGTCAATGAGGTTGAAAATCTTGGCAGAATGTTGTACTTAAGTAGGCTAACATCTAGTATTAAAGCAAATGATCCATCTGTTTATTACAGGTGCTGGCTCTAGTAGAACCTGCACATGATGGTTTTACAGGTCAGTTTCAAAGGAAATAGCTTGACAGCAGATGTCATTGAAACACCTACAGTATTATATATATAGTGTTCTTAGAAGTCAGTCTAATGTTTAGATGAAAATCTCATCTGCAAAAAGTAATACGGAAAGAAAATGTCAATATTCCCTTAATTTGGGACATTTGCATATGAAAGTACAAACAGTATGCATGCAGTATTGAGTTTGAGATGACATAGATAGCAAGGAAAAGGCTGCAAGTGTTGGTCAGAATATAATAATAGGTCTTTTTAAGTGACTTGAAAGAATACTGTAAAACTAACCTTTGGTAATACGGAGAAAACAAAGGCTGGCCGATACCGTTGGCTGAAGGCCTGACAAACACCATCTACTTAGGATTTTGTATGCTTACTGTTTTGAAAATTAATTTTAAAAGAAACTATAATGCAATGGTAGAAAAACAAAAGGCATGGACTTGTTTTATTGATACTGCCATAAAGGGTACTGGGGCAAGATGAAACTTTGAAGGCAGATTAGAAACCTGTGCAGAAAAATTATTTAGTAAATGATTAGTACAAATCATCTTAGTACAAATGATCAGTAAAAATCATTTTAGAAAAACCCTAGCCCAGCCAGTATTAACCATAGAAGATAACAAAACTTTGCAAGTAACTTGCATTTAATTTGTATGTTATCATTCAAAAAGAGTGCAACATAAATTTCTATTCTGATTTAAAGAAAAAAAAGTTATTGAAAGAAAAGGACTTTCAGGATGACTGGAGTATAAAGAATTTTGTGTCCTTCACATTATGCTGCTGCAGAAAAAGGTGATGCTAAAAGATCTGGAGCCCCTTTCCATGCCTTGTCTTCCAGAGTTGAGAGCAGAATAGTCTCATCTATTAATATTTGAATATGGGCTCCTCAGAGTGGGGGAAATTAGAAGATACTCAAAATAGCCTTTCTCTATTCAGAGCTCTAAATTGAGATGTTTAACTACTCTGCTTAAGGCAAAACAAATCACAAAAGTGCTTAGTTAGAGCTAAAATAAACCAGACACTGAGATACCAGCCAAGTAAACAATACACAATTATTTACACAAAAACAACATCCCAAACAACAATTTGCTGCTACTAAGACTAAGTTTGATTGGGTAGCCTTAAAAGGGCATGCAGCATCCTAGACTTGAAAGCAACCTCTTAAGTTTAAAGGGAATGAGTGTTCTTTTAGCATTTTCTAGCACAATTCTGTCATCGATTCTTAAAATTTACTAAACTACTGTTGGATGAATTGGAGATGATTTTTTCTCCCAGCTTTAATCCTGAATTTTCTGAGATATGGAAACTTTGCAAATAAGTTATGCTTAATTAAATATTCTGGTGCATTAAGACTACCACTTCAACATAGCACTTCCTAATCTGATCGCTTGTATCATTATTGGAAAGAGAGATAAAGACTTTGCTCAATTTTGACCTTTGTGTCCTGCACAGACCACTTGCTACCTCATTCGAAGGCAGACATGGCAGTGTGCGCTATTGGGTGAAAGCTGAATTGCATAGGCCTTGGCTTCTACCAGTAAAATTAAAGAAGGAATTTACAGTCTTTGAACATATAGATATCAACACTCCTTCATTACTGGTAAGAATTGACAGAATTACTCATTCTTTGTTTCTGGCATACAAATAATGAATTACAATAACCGAAACAATATCTAATTTTATCTAATATTTATTTGCTAGTTTAACAGCAACTGATGTTTCAAGCATCCTTTCAGTTTAGCAACTCTTTTAACTGCTGGTATTTTGAAAGCTAAATTCTTCCATATAGAGTTGCTTAATTTTTAACAAAACGTAAGATGTAAATGTAGTTGTTGTTATTTTAAATTGATAATAAATTATAAAGTCTTACTAAGGTGGAGAATTTCTATGAACAGTTCCTCTATCCTTTTAAATAAGGAACAGTCTCTAGAAGGAACATGCAATGCATAAAAATATTGCAGTGCGAGACTGCTAACTTAAAAATGCAAAGTAAAAAAATGTACTGCAGTGCATAATTGATAATTTCCATATAGATAACTTTCTGTTGATGGGGAGAAATTATCACAATTCTGTACAAACTTTCTGAAATTCTGTTAAATTAGAATCACTTTAACATCACAACTGCTTTCAATGAGGATTTAATTTCAATCTGGCCTAAAATCCCTTTCTTTCCCATCCCCTCCTTCCTCAAATTCTAATCTGTGGAAAAAATAAATTTTAAAACAAAGTCCATTGAAATAGGTTTCTTGTGTGTATGGGTGAAAAATCAGACTTGCAAAGGAACCTTGGCCTTGCACAAACTCCACTAAAATCAAAGGACTCTCATTTGACTTTAATGGGCTTTGGATCAAGCCTTTAATCCACATTTCATGTAAAATAACAGGGTTGGTTTAATATAGATGAGACGGAAACAGAGAAAATAGCAGGAGTCAAGATTAGTTTGGTTTAGTTACTTTTTTTTTTTTTTCTGAAATGTAGTGTAATGCAAAGTGGGAAGATGTGCTAATTTACTGATAATTACATGGAAAGCTCTGCCAATAATACGTTAGGATGCATAGACTATTAAGTATGACTGTAGCGTGGAGGATCCCATGGTTGGGAGAAAAAGACAGTGCTAATGCAGCAGTGGAATTAGGACAAACACTTTATCTCTGTAATGACATTTAAATTGTTTAAGATTTTCCTGACAAATAGAACAAGTTTCTAAAAATATAAGTACGTTATGAATATGATTTGTGTGTGTGTGTGTGTGTTGATTAAAATAGCTGATGGGTTTCATTGAACCTCTGTAACTTAATGGGCAATTTTACTCTTTTCTTGCAGTCACCCCAAGCAGGCACAAAAGAAAAGACTCTCTGTTGTTGGTTTTGTACCTCAGGCCCAATATCCTTAAGTGCCAAAATTGAAAGGAAGGGCTATACCCCAGGTACGTAACTGAAGTAATTATAGGAAATGTTTCTCCTTCCCTTTTTAAAACTTAACATTTTGAAACTGCTAAGTTTGTGCTTAATGGTTTAATATAAAAAATAAGGCTGTTTTTACCACCTCAGTCCACATTCAACAATCACCTCAGAATATTGTGAAGTAAAACAAACAGCACTAACTCTGTCTCCAGATTGCTGAAGGACTTTTACTTCTGTTAAACAGACTTCTACGACTGTTTTAGATTGGCTTATGGTGACCTTGCTCTCATTAACAGGTAGAGCAGCGAGAGCAAGGTCTAGTGCATTATAGCTTTGCTTAAACTGCCTTGTAAATGTAACGAGAAGTTGGAAATTCTTTTGTTTCAGGTGAATCAATTCAGATCTTTGCTGAGATTGAGAACTGCTCTTCCCGTATGGTGGTGCCAAAGGCAGCCATTTACCAAACACAGGCATTCCATGCCAAAGGGAAAATGAAGGAAGTGAAACAGCTTGTTGCCAGCCTGCGTGGGGAGTCCCTGTCGTCTGGCAAAACAGAAACCTGGAATGGCAAAGTGTTGAAAATTCCACCCGTTTCCCCTTCCATCCTCGACTGTAGTATAATCCGCGTGGAGTATTCGCTGATGGTATGTTGCATGGTCTGTTTTGTTCTCAAATATGAGTCCATTCCATCGTTCCATGCAAATTCTTCTAAAAAGTGCATTTTGCTAATTTGCTCACATTGAGAATTTGAGCTTCTGTTAATGTGGAGAGCTTGCAGCCCCTTATGGGCACAGGCCCCTAAAAGACACAATTAGAAACAAGTGTCTCATAGAAACTTCCACAGGAAGAAAAACTTAGTCTAATAACTTCATGAAATGCTGATGCAAACTCATGTTTCTTTCTCTTATTTTCTCCAGGTGTATGTTGATATTCCAGGAGCCATGGATTTATTCCTTAATTTACCACTGGTCATTGGTACCATTCCTCTCCATCCATTTGGTAGCAGAACATCAAGTGTGAGCAGCCAGTGTAGCATGAACATGAATTGGCTTGGTCTGACCTTGCCTGAAAGACCAGAAGGTAAATTGACAATAGAAATCTAAAGCAATTTGCTGTTCATTTAGACTTTTGTCTGTTTACTCATTGCTGTGTCGCTAAGAGAAGTGCCCTCTGTCCCTTCCTAACAGTGCCCACAGGAAAACCTTTGTTAGGTGTTCCCTTGCCACCTGTTTTCTGCAGAGGAACAGTTTCCTCTGTCTTTGCTCTTCTCTCTGCCTAGGAAAGGCAGGGAAATCAAACTGCCTTGGGAGCTGGTAGAGGTGGAGGCCTAAGATGCTGTTGCACTTGGGCAGGATGTGGTTACTCTTACTTGCAGTATCCCAGTTGCATCTTTGCTTGTGAGACGTTAACAAACCGCAATAGTAGCGGTGTCTCAGGTCTCTCCTCCACTTTCATAGCTGTGGCTTTCTGAAGAGTACAATTCTATGGGATGTCTCCCTTCTGGCTGAAGGAGGAACGTTACCTCCTTCTTTCCTATCACACACCTAATAAACATACTGTTTTGTAAGTACAAATGCTAGACTGATCTCTGAAATCCAAAGGATTGCAACAGTCTGTCGCTTCTGCTCATACAGAAGAAACAGCATCTTTGGTGTGCTTAAATCAAGGGGGATAACTAAGCCACAATAGGCAGTGGTCAGTCTGTTTTTGAACATAAGCTTGTTTAGTCTTAAAATAAAATGAAATTATTTAGCTCACTTCTGTGTTCAACAATTTTTTTTAAAAAATCACTGAATATTTATCTACCTGCAAGTGCTTTTTATAATGACAAAAGTTTAATATTTATCATGTTATATATTTCGACATGCATAAGAACTCGTTGTTCGAACTGCGTGTACCTTTTCCCTTCAGCACCTCCGAGCTATGCAGAAGTGGTCACAGAGGAGCAGAGGCAGTCCAGCCTGGCGCCCATAGCCGCCTGCGATGACTTTGAGCGCGCGCTCCAGGGACCATTATTTGCATACATCCAGGAGTTCCGCTTCCTGCCTCCCCCACTCTATTCAGAGGTAGGTACATCGCAAGCAGTGTGAGCAATAACTTACTGTCTGTCTGAATTCTCTCTGGGCAGAATACATGTAGGAAGATATTCCTCTTTCCAAAAGTCCAGATAAACCACTAAAGTGTGGAACAGGAAACAAGCTGCATTCC